TGATCTTCCTTTTTTTTTTTTCTTTAACCGTTGATCCTCCAATTACAGCTGCTGATTTCTGCAGGCTGAAAAGTAAAGGACCGAAAGCTTTCTTTTTGTTTCTTGTGCAGGCCTCTGGGCAGAGCAGGCACGGGATTGGGCTGTAGTGAGGTGTAGAGGATTGCAGCAAGCAAGGTCAACACAGCAGGGGGGCACAGAGCAAAGGGGATTTGGGCATGGCGCGGGCTCGGTGCAGGCACAGGGACAAAGGCGCAGCAGCTGCGTCGGCGCAGCAGGGGGCGCAAGGTAGGGGCGCAGGGGCGCAGGGGCGCAAGGGTGCAAGGCTATTTCTGCAGAAAGGAAGCCGAGGGTCCTCTTTTGAAGAAGATTCGAGAGACCCTCCCTTTTCTTTCTCTCTTTTTTTTTTTTTTTTTGGGTTAAATGGGTTTTGGGTTTGAAGTCTTAGATTTTTTTGGGTTTGGGCTTTGGATTTGAGTTTAGGTTTTTGGGGTTTGGGCTTTGGTTTAAATTGCTGGTGGGCTCGATTTGGGTCTTAAATTGATGAATTTCACCCTCAAACTTTTAATTTCTTCACTAGAGTCCTTTCTTTCTTCTTCTCCCACTTTTTCACGAAATTTCCTTTTTGCTCGTATCCTAACAATAAAAGCAAGGTTAAAACCCCATTTTGGTCCCTGAACTATTGTATGGACCCCCAATTTGGTCCTTATTGTTTGCCATTTTAACCCCGATTTGGTCCTTCCGTTAAATATCTGCCTACGTGTCTTGTTACTTGACAGGAAAGGGATGACATGTTAAAACATTTTGACACCTAGGATGTACAATGTGGCAAAAAAATGAGATGGCAAGAAATTACCTTAAAAAATTTCTTTTTCTTTTTTTTTTTCTTTCTTTGTTTTTCTTTTTTCCCTTTCTTCTTCCTCTCCCTTTCCTTTCACCTTCTACAAACCCTAACATCTCCTAATATTAAATTCGAGAATAACACAACAAACCAACAGATGGAAATTCGTAGATCCTTCGGTCCAACTGCAATTGGGTTGGAAACAAAACCCAACGCTTGCTGGGTTCGAAATCGAATCCAGCACGTGCAAGAATCTGAGGATAACACAACAGATAACAAATTCATAAATAAACAAATTCATAAATAGATCGAGCTCAATAGATCCATCGACCCAACGACTCCTGAGTTTGAAACAGAACCCAACAGACAACAGACAATAGATCAATAAACAAATGGAACTCAACAGATCTATTGACCCAATGGTTGCTGGACCCAATGCCTACTAGGTTCGAAATCAAACCCAGCACCTGTAGGAACCCAGCTCGAACATAGTGCTTGCTGGGTTTGAAATCGAACCCAACACCTGCAAGAACCAAGCGGTTGCTGGGTTCGATGATGGGTTCAATGCTAGGTTTGATCGCTTGCTGGGTTCGAAATCGAACCCAACACCTATGCCTTCTTCATCTTCATCCACCTGCAAAAACCCAACGGCTGCCTTGCCTTCTTTATCTTCATCAATCAATTTCTCATATCATCAAACAACAAAACCCAAACAAAGAAAATAGAAATTTTTTTTTTTTTGCCCCTGGGTTCGATGGAACCCAGGGTTGGGTCCTTGCCCCTGGGTTTGATGGAACCTAGGGCTGGGTCCCAAGGAACCCAGCGCTTGGGTTTCATCGAACCCAGGCATGTTGGGCATCGAACCCAGGCGTTGGGTTCGGTGGAACCTAGCATGCCTGGGTTCGATGGATGCTGGGTTCCGTCGAACCCAGCAGCGAACCCAGGCATGTTGGGTTCCATCGAACCCAAGCATGCTGGGGGAAAGAGAAAGGGAAGGGGAAGGGGAAAGAGAAAAGGAAAGAAAAGGAAAAAGAAAGAAAAGGAAAAAGAAAAAATTTTTTTTTTAAGTTTTATTTTTTATAATATTTGTTTATATTATTATTTTTTTCATGTCATCACTGTTTTTGGTCTTACTGTCTTCCATGTGTATTAATATTTGACATGTCATCTTTTTCTTGTCAAGTAACAAGACATGTAGGCGGATATTTAACGGAAGGACCAAATCAGGGTTAAAATGGTAAATAGTAGGGACCAAATCAGGGATTTTTTTAGTTTAGGGACTAAATCGGGGGTCCGTACAATAGTTCAGGGACCAAAATGGGATTTTAACCTAAAAGCAAAGACAAAATAGATTAGTTAAAATAAAAAAAATGAAAATTAAAGCAAAAATCAAAATAAAACTAAAATAAAATAAAATCATATTAAAAATTTGAGTTATGACAGTGTGTTTCTGTTTGGTTTAGTTTAAGTGTGTTTGGATTGTGGATTTTTCTACGTAGTAAATCATGGAATCAGCCAAGAATTCATGGATGAGGTGTTTGCGCAAAGCAAAAGGTTGTTTTCCAATTATAGATCTAGGTTTTCTTTCTCCCTGATCTGGGTTTTCTCTCTCAAACTTCATCTTCTTCCTCCTTTCCTCATTCGACAGTTTTGCCTCCTCATTCTCTATCAACCTTCCTCCTTCTTTTCCCTACTCATCCTTCTTCTTTCTTCTTTGTATTCTTTCTCTCTCTTTTCTCCCTTCTGCTTCCTCTCCAGATCTAGGTTTTTCTCAAACCCAGATCTGCATCCTATCCCAGCATTTTCCCTTACTAACTGTCAGACTCTCTTCATTGAACTACTTTTTTGCCTTTCTACAAATTCATCACCATCGAACCCATTTTTCCTTCTAGCACAAACCTTATTCCTCTTCGTCATTCAACCTTCTCCCATCTCAAAGTTCTAATTTTGCCATCACTGCCACACTATTACACCTCAACAAACCCACACAACCAACACCCACATAGATTTGGAAGGAAAAAGTGGAGGAAGAAGAAGAATGGAAAGGTAGAAGAAGTTAAGAAGCCAAAGCAGAATAAACCGAAAAAGCCTAAGGTCAGTGATGCGAAGGTCGCCACCATGGTCGATCCTGCTGATCTCACCATAGATCTGGAAGAAAAAAAAATGGAGGAAAAAGAAGGGGGAAAGAGAAATAAGAAGAAAAAGGTAGAAGGAGGAGGGAAGAGGAGGAAGAAGGTTGGGAAAGAGGAAGGGGCAGAGGGATGAGAGAGAAGAAATGAGGTAGAAAAAGAAGACAAATATAATAATAAATTATGTGGGTTTTTATTTAAATAGGAAAAAAAATACCACATGGAAAAAGAAAAAAATTCCATCTCATCACCTTTTGCATGGTGTGTTTTCCACATAATTATTATTTTTATAAAAATATGATTTTGTGGCATTTTAACGTGCCACTTATACATTTAACTGATGGAAACTGACAGAAGGACAATTTTAGTATTTTTTAAAGTTGAGGGACAATTTTAGTATTTTTTAAAGTTGAGGGACAATTTTGGTACCAAAGTGAAAAGTTGAGGGACCAAGATGGTATATAAACCTTATTATTTTATTTGATCTTATGACCGAGGAACAATAATAACATGATGCGGAGTTGAAGAAGAATGTTCGAGGAACAACACAAGGTGCTAGACTTGTAAGAATTGGTAAACAAGCATGGGAATAACTAGCAAATTGCCGTTCATTCTACTCTTGAAATACATAAAAAGAGATAGGAAAAACCAATTAACACAACAAAAAGATTATTAAACAATATAGTTCACAAAAACTAACAAGATACACCATATAGACTAGTTAAAATTAATTTGCTATTGAAATATATCATATGAACTATTCTAAACAAAAGATATGTTCAATACATCATACGAAAATTTTCGCAATTATATTAACAAAAACAACAAATTTAAGAAATCATCATGGTTGGTTTATATTTAAAAATTTTTTACTCTCGTGCCAAGCATTCTGTTGCCTATAAGGAAAATTATCTATGTAGAGAGCTGTTGGATGGTTCACTTTAAAGATTGTGGTTATTCTTCTTTCACCCTTTTTATTTAGGCTTTCCTAGGACAAAAGATACAATATTACTTAGACATGACATTACATATTTAGATGCTTCTAAACATTGTAATAACACCAATATAAAAGAAAATTCACCTTTTTCCACTGCACTTTCACTTTCTTGGGAGATGAAAAAGGCGTCTCTCACATATGGAAACAATTCTTGGATGTGCAAAGGCATCATTTAATTTCTTTGCCCTAGCATTTGTAGATTTAATCATTAAAAATAGTATTATTTCATATGTGCTTCAAGATAGAAAAAAAA